CATCTGGATTCCTGTGCCTGGGAGGCACGGGAGGCCAGGGCTTCCTGAGAGCCCCAGCCCCTGATCTGTGCAGATGTGCAGGATGTGTCTGGGTCAGCAGACAGCCCTGTGCTTGCTCCAGGCTTGGAGAATCCTCAGGGAGACAAGCAAACTCTCCCAGCTCCAGCACAGCCTGAGTGCTGGTGGAAAATGGCCTTTGGCCAGAGAATTCCAGGATGGTGGCCCTGCCTGTGCTCCTCTTCCTACCAGCTGGAACTCCTGGCAGAGAGGCAGGGAGACTGGTAAAGGCTGTCATGTTTTAAAGCAAAGCAGCTTCTTGTTGTTTAATCCCAGATGGCAACTAAGTACCAGCAGCTGCTCACTCACTCCCACCTCCCCTTCTGCGGGATGGGGAGGGGAATTGACAAAAGGCAAAACTCATGGGTTGAGATAAGAACAGTTCAATACTTGAAATAAAGTAAAAAAAAAAAAAAAATAATAGGAAAAAGAGAGATGAATAAAGCCCACGAGAGACAAGTGATGCACAGTACTGCGGCTCAGCCCCCTGAGCACTGCCCAGCCTGTTCCTGAGCACTGGTCAGCCCCAGTTCATGTGGACACCACACTCTGTGGTGAGGAATATCCCTTTGGCCAGCCTGGGTCAGCTTCCCTGGCCGTGCTCCCTCACAGCTCCTCACTGGCAGAGCACAAGGCGCTGCAAAGTCCTGGATTCAGAGTAAGCACTGCTTAACACACTGATGGTTTAGGTGCTGCTGTGAACGTTGTTCTCATGCTGAATCCAAAACACAGCCCTGTACCAGCTACTGGGAGGAAAATTAGCTCTATTCCAGCCAACAGCAGGATACAGCTGCCAGAGAGGATGTGCTGAAGGCAAAAATCTCAGGGCTGAAAGCTGCAGGGGAGCAGCTGCTGCACAGCAGTGCAGGTGGTGGCAGTGCCAGGAACACCTGCATTGCTTTGTTCTGCTGCCAGCAGCCCCTGCCTCACACTGTCCTGCCCAGCATGGGCTTGTCCTGCTGGAGCTCTGGCACTGCCACCTCCTCCTCATGCTGAGAAATGTTGTCCCACAGATTGGATCTGGGAGGTGGCATCAGCCCAGGGCCTGGGGGCCTCTTTTCATACCACAGCATCACCTCCACTCCTCAAAGTTAAAGAGAATTGTGATCTCTGGTAGTGCTCCACACTCACATTTCTTTGTCACTGAGATTCTCAGGGCACAACACAGCCACACTGTTCTGACAAACCTGGGCAGTATTTTCTAATTACCATCCAATGTAAACCACTTGCTTGCATTTCTTTGGCTCCATTAATTCTGAAAGCACAGCTAAAGTAAATAAATAATTAACTTTGTCTGTGCTTTGGATGGGCCAGGTAATACAGTGTTGTTATTCCTTGATGATGAAAGTGTTAATTAATGTTGTCTCTTATAAAAGAAGAAATCAGGTATAAAATTACATCATCATTAATGCAGTTCTGCCATCTCTTTGCATTTCTTCTCTGATTTCTGAATGCCATCTAGGCTAGAAAACTTGGAGGCTTTCAGGGTTTTGCATTCATGTGTGCATCCTAAGGAATCTGGAGTGCATAAGACCTAGATGCACACTGTTCCCAGCCTCCTCCTGGTTTTCTCTGATGGAAAAGTACTCAAGAGTCAGCTTGGATGATTCCAGCCCTGGGGCCCTGGGCAGCAGCATGCTCTGATCCTGAGGTGTGCATAAACACAGCCTGTGGTGACACAAATAGGTGACAACCACTCAGCACTACTGGGAGGAAAGGCTGGAACAGCCTCTGATGTGATGAGGATGAGCTCAGAACTCTTCACACTCTTCTGGAACAGACATTTCTGTCCATATTCAGGGCACCCAAAAGCTGGCAGGGAGGAGTGAGGGATGATCCCAGCTCCAGCCTTACCCTCTGTGCTGCAGCAGTACCTGGGCAGGGAGGCAGCTGCCCAAGCCCACAGTAGAATCAAGAGGCCGCAGCTTCACAGATGATTACAGCACTGCACCACAAATTAAATAACAATAAAATTAAAACAAAGCACAGTTGATAGAGGATAATGAAACTGATGAGTGTACTAAATCATTACACAACTACCTCTTACATGATTACAAAGTCCTTACTAAGGACATGAAAGAGGAGTGACCAATGCATTTTGCTGGGTTTATGGACCTTATTTGGAAATTCAGGTTCCTATCCAGTTCCTTAGAGATCTGTGTCTTGTCTTATTTAGTAGCAAAAGCTAACCAGACTCCTGCTGCCACAGGAACCAGAAATCAAAGTCTCAAGATGTTCCCACTGAGTGTGAACACAAACTCAGTGTACACCCAAGTGAGTGGCACTTTGCCATGGTGCACTGAGCTGTCACATGGGGCCAGCTGTCACACTGTGAGGGACAGTGACCTCCAGGAGATGGGCAGGGTGGGTTCCTGGCCATGCTAACCCTTTTACCTGGGATGAATCCGACAAGGATCCCAGCTCTGAGCCCTTGGCATCACAGGATTGTGCATCCTACTGAGGGTGAGTTCCACCAGCCCCAGCAAGACTGGTGGATGTGTAGGTTCTTCTGCTGCAGGAGAGGAGCAATGGCATGTGTGGGGCTGATGAGCTGTTCCTAATTTCCAGTGAGTCAGATAAGGTAAAATAATCCTACCTCAGTGAATTGGGTCATTGGCAGTGACCTGTTCTGGAAAAGTGGCCTCTGATGCAGAAAATCTGGTGTTAAGGCACTTTTCATTTCCCCTTCCAGGGGAAGCACAAGTTGATTAGGAACACTAAGATGATTACCTCTGCTTTGCTCTATCTCTCAATTATGCCCTAATTAATATTGATTAAAATCTGGCAAAGGCAGCTTAAAGCACCTGCTGGGGTTTTATCCTCAGTTACTTCCTCACCCAAAACCTACAGCTCTCAAACTGCTCAATGCAGTGTGACTATTACAGATCCAGCTGTACCTGTGGTGGCTGGAGCCTCCTCCCACAAACTGCACCTTTGGTCCAGCTCTTCAGGGAAGGATTTGGCATGGCAGCTCTTAGCTGGGGGTCCCTGGTTGTTAATGTGAGATCCCAGGAGAGCAGGCTTGGGGCCTCCTAGTTTTAGGTTTAAACTAAATGTCTCTCCCTCTGTTGGTGCTGGTGAGGCCACACTTTGAGTTCTGTGTCCAGTTCTGAGCCCCTCAGTTAAGAGGGGCATTGAGGGGCAGGAAAGAGCCCAGAGAAGGGAACAGAGCTGAAGCACAAGTCCTGTGAGGAGAGGCTGAGGGAGCTGGGGATGTTTAGGCTGGAGAAAAGGAGGCTCAGGGGTGACCCTTATTGCTCTCTGCAGCTCCCTGACAGGACAGTGTAGCCAGGTGGGGACTGATCTCTTCTCCCAGGTAACCAGAGATGGAGGAGAGGATCCATCAGGGGAGGTTTAGGATGGACAGCAGGAAGGATTTCTTCACAGGAAAAATGATTAGACTGGGCTGCCCAGGGAGGTGGTGCAGTCACTGCTCCTGGAGGTGTGTAAGGAAAGGCTGGATGTGGCACTCAGTGCCCTGGTCTGGGTGACACGGCGCTGTTCAGTTACAGGTTGGACTCGATGATCTGCAAGGTCTTTTCCAGCATAAGCCAATCTGTGATTGTGTGAGGAAAGCCCCGGAGGAGTGCAGTCGTGAACTCCGAGCCCCCTTCACTCCCCTTCCTCCCTGGCCCCTCACAGTGTGTCAAGGAGCATTTTAAGACACAGAGAAACAGGTCCTGGACCACTGGGATGGGAACTGCACCGGGATAGGAACTGCACCAGTGTGAAAAATATATATTTTATGGCTTTGCGCAAATATTAAAATGAATACTGTATGTGTTATATTAGAAAGTAATGCTGTATTAATTCTCTTAAGTAGTGTGTTAAATATGGTTTTAGGTTATAGCATAATGTTAAAATAGAAACTATGCTATGTAAGATACTTTTTTAAAGAGAGGACTTGCAGCGAGACAGCAGCCACAGGACACCTAAATCTTTCAGAGAAAGAGAATTTATTGTTCTCTTATTGAGTTCTTCTCACCTCACTCAGCCCTGAAGACACCGTTAGAATAAAGAGGAAGAAGCTGACACTGACCAGACAGAATCCTCTGTTTGAATGGAATTTATGCATCAGGTATGAGAAGTGTGAATATGCAACAGGCTATTGCTTTTAAGGGTTAATCCTCTGTTAACGTGTGTCTTTCTTCGGGCTTATTTTGCCCAGAAGGAGATACCGGACTGTCCGTAACTCTTTGATTCTATTGTCTCATATTGTCCTAATCCAAATTGTCCAAATTATTATTACACTAATTGTATTGCTGTTTTTATAACCATTTTATAACTATTAAACTTTTAAAATTTTAAAACCAAGTGATTGGCGTTTTTCACACCCGGGATGGGCACTGCTGGGAACTGCCCGGAACGGCAACTGCCCCGGGATGGGAACTGCTGGGAACTGCCCCAGGACGGGAACTGCCAGGAACGGGAACTGCCCGGGATGGGAACTGCCCCGGCTCCCGCCTGGATCGGGACCCGCGGGTCTGGAGCGAGAGGGAACAGCCCCGGTCCCCGCGGGGCCTGCTGTGGAACCAGGCTGCTCGGAGACAGCAATCCCTGATAGGGAATATTTTAAATTATCTATTTCCTACTTATATTCATATAATGCACAGGTTTTGTTTATATTATCCACTGAAACGCACACTGGAGTGTCTCAGGCAGGGCTTTGTTTGCCGCTGCTTTTAACGCTGTAAAATCCCGCTGTGGGAACTGGGACAACTCCGCGCGCGTCGCGTTTGTTTTCCTTTGTGCAGTAAATATACTGACTTGCATTGCACCGCCGCACCCGAACTCCCGCCCCTCGCAGCGCCTGACCCTTCCTGTCAGGATCCCGGGGCGCTCCCGTTTGTCGGTACCCGCTCGCAGGAGCTGCCCGCGGTCCGTGCCCGGTGCCCGCCCCATCCCGGGGCTCTCCCGGTGTCCCGGAGGATCTGAGGGAACAGCGGGGCTCCGCCCCTTCCCGCGTGACGTCACGGCGCCGGAAGGGTCTCGGCGCGCTCGTGACGTCAGCCCTTCCTTCTTTCCCCGGGAGGCCGGAGTGAGGTAGGAGTGGGGCGGCCGCGGTCCCGATCCGGATCCGCCGCCATCCGCGCCCGGGCGGCCGCGGGAAGGGGCAGGGCGGGGATGGGGCACGGCCGGGGCGCCGCTGAGCGGGCCGCGGGTGTCGCTGAGCTGTCCCCGTGTCCCCGCAGGGCACCATGGGCCGCGTCATCCGCGGGCAGAGGAAAGGCGCGGGCTCCGTGTTCCGTGCCCACGTGAAGCACAGGAAGGGCCCGGCCAAGCTCCGCGCCGTGGACTTCGCCGAGCGGCACGGGTACATCAAGGGCATCGTCAAGGTACGGGCGGGCCCCGCGCCGCTGCTCGGGGGCTTCGGGCACCGGGGGCCGAGCCCCGCTCCCCCTGCTCTGCCAGCACTGCCCCCGGGCCTTATCCCGGCTGGTCCCGATCCAGCGTTCTCTGCTTTAAATAGATCATATTCCCTGAAAAGTTAAACTCTTCCAGGTTTATGAGAAGATCTCAGCAGAGGGGGCACCCTTAGCCAGCTTTAGGGTTTCTGCTGGAGCTTTGCTAAGAGTAGCAGCACCAGCGTGGTTTTATGTTGCCTAAGAATTCCCTGTGCCTCAGGAGTCTCCCATGTAGGTAGTTGTGTATTAAAAAAAAAAAAAGAATCAAATGCTTGTAAATACCAAGTGATATCCATCATTTTGGTCTTGAGCAGTAGGAGCAAGGCAGTAGCTGTACTTGGGTCTGCTAGTGGTTCAAATTTGGGGTGTGCTAGTGGTTCAGGGGTGATGCAGGGATTTTTCTTAGGTGTCAGGGACTGTGGAGTGCCAGCAGGGCTACTGGCTGCATGGATGCTCTGAGCAGCCCTCCAGTGTTTTACAGCACGGTCATATTCACTTGTAGAGAGAATTTTCTTCACTCTCACCCAACTGAGGTGATGGTAGAAGGTGGGTAACAGGGTTTGACTTGAGCTTGGTCCTACACAGGAGATTTGGCCAGCAGGGCTGAAAAAACGTCAGCAATGGACACCAGCAGTTTGTGAGCTGTCCTAAAAAACAAACACATGTTAGAGATGGGTCGCTCACTTGTCTGTAGCCTGTAAATGGATGGTTGGGTAATTTAATCCCAGTGTGCATCAGGAGCAGAATGCATGTGTTTTTCCAAGTGTGAAAGAAAAAATAAGTTGTGCTTCCTTACTTAGGACATTCAAAAACTTTGTTTTAGCTGATTTTTAGAAATGCTTCAATCCCAAGGAAACATAGGGAGAAGTCTCTGCCTGTGCCCAGTTCTGTCCTGCCCAAAGGTGGTGGGGCAAAGTGAAAGTGGATTTCTTACATGGAGAGACTGGATTCCTGCAGAATGTCAGGAACAAAGCTGACAGGATTAGCTCCAAGCAGCACACTTGTACAGGCATTATCATGTGCTCAGTGAATGGTTTGGGCTGGAAGGGACCTTAAAGCTCATCCAGTTCCAGCCCCCTGCCACGGACAGGGACACCTCCCACTGTCCCAGCTTGCTCCAAGCCCCGTCCAGCCTGGCTGTGAGCACTTCCAGGGCTCCAGGGGCACCCACAGCTCCTCAGGGCAGCCTGTGCCAGGGCCTCCCACCCTCACAGGGAGGCAGGGGCCGTGTCCTGCCCTAGAGCAGCTCTGCATTCCCACAGGACATCATCCACGACCCGGGGCGGGGCGCGCCGCTGGCCAAGATCGCCTTCCGTGACCCGTACCGCTTCAAGAAGCGCACGGAGCTCTTCATCGCCGCCGAGG